AAAAAATTTTAAAAATCGTACATGAAATAGATCCAAATTTCACAATAATCCGATTTCATAATCAGCCGTGACAATTAATATATATATATATATTTCATAATTTCCAATTTGTTTCTAATACTTTTTATTTTTAGGCTTTTTTTCCATTATAGTGGACATGGTGGTCAGGTAGAAGATCTTGACGGCGATGAGGATGATGGATTTGATGAAACCATTCTTCCGCTTGATCATGAACAAAGTGGTCAAATAATTGATGACGTGTGTTTTCTTTTTTTTTTGTAATCAGAAAAAAATGTATATATATATAGTATGCTAATACCGTTATTAAAGTTATTATTTTGTTTATTTTAGGAGATGCATGATATAATGGTGAGACCACTTCAACCTGGTAAAAACTTTTTCTATACGACTTTTTTTTTATTTACGAGAATTAAAATTTCTATTTATTTATGTTATTCACATATTTGTTTTAGGTGTAAGATTAACCGCTATATTTGATTCGTGCCATTCGGGAACTGCGCTTGATTTACCATACATATATAATACGCAAGGTGTAGTTAAAGAGTATAATATTCTTTCCGATGGTGGGAATACTCTTATGACTGCTGGAATGTCTTATTTAAGGGGTGATTTAAATGGTATAAAAACGAGTATAATGTCATTTGGAAAGAAAGTGGTGTCCGGAAACAAGATAGCAGAGCAAAATAGGGTGAACAAATTAAGTCACGCCGATGTTATTATGTTTAGTGGGTAAGTGTAAAAATTTTTTATTTCTACGATTTTACCTAATAAACACAATCTCATCACTAATATGAAATTAGGTGTAAAGACTCTCAAACATCTGCAGATGCTAATGAAGCCGGGCAAAACACGGGTGCCATGTCATACGCCTTTATTACAGCGTTAGTGTTACTTGATAATTAATTTTAATTCTTTCATTTATTTATTTTTGATTATTATTATTTTTTGGATTATTATTGATGTTTTAATTTTCTCTCTTGATAGACTGAGGAGAAACCAATACCAAACATACCAACAGCTATTAAATAGTATTAGGGAGATTCTTGCAGGAAAATATAGTCAAAAGCCACAACTTAGCACGTAAGTTGTAAACCATTATAAATTTTAGATATAATCACATAATTATTAATTTTTCTGCTTGTATAAATATTTTTTAGGTCCCATCCAATGGATATGAATTTGTTATTCATGATGTAGCATAATATTTAAGATATTTGATCTTATTGGCTAGTTTATTCGTATATATGTTACGGGTCAAATTGGTTTTTAGGTCAAGTTAAACTTGACCGAGTCAAATTGATCAATTAAAAAATCCCGACCGGCATCAAAATTAATTCCGGCCCGCCCTGACCCTAAAATTCTGCTAGGAATCAATTTGACCCGGGTCAACCAACTTGACTCGTAACATATATATGGATTTTTTATTATTTTTGGTGTCATATTTCCTTTTATATAGAATAAGAAAACCACATGGACTGTTATGAAACTGTATTGCGGTTAATCTAAAAGACAAAGCAAGAAATGAGTTTAAACATGTGGTTATGTGAAATCTTCTAGAATAAAAAGTTTATTATGATTGAAATTCTGGAAAACATTAAATCGGGTTCTTGTATAGGCTGGCCACATCTAAAAAAAAAAAAATTTTTGCCAAAACATTAAAAAGGCGGGTTATATTAAGCTGTTTTTTATTCAACCCAAATCTATTTAAATGCTTTATTTGTTTTTTATATACATAATGATCGGATTTTACAAAATTCAGAGTTCAACTATAATGATTTAAATTATTACAAACAAGAAAAAAAATTAAATAAATCAAAAAAAGTAATCTAATTAATCAACACATGGCAAGGATGGTAAATGACTTGAACAAAATGACTAATGACCAGTAGTTGGTCATCTTGAGAACCAAATGATTCACGGTCCTGACTTGGGTTATTTAACTTTGATCAAATGAACTGGTCATTTTTTGATAACTTTGTAGGAAATCTTTAGCATAACAAAGTACCTAGCCAATTCAGAACTCTATCTGAGACAGCCTTTACATTGTAGTTTGTTACTAAAATTCTCAATGAAAATCATCATTGCTTCGCGGGTTATAATAAATATTAATTATATCATAAATGTTCTTTTGCATAAATAAAAGAGTTACGTAAAATTTTACATATAAAATTAATATTTAAAAAATTTATTTACACATTGAATTACAAATTCGTGTAACATGCCGTCAAAACAATTTTTTTGGCACCAGTCCATTCTTGTGACAGCAAATTGTTCGATTTGTATCTCTAATTTAATAATTGATTACATTAATAATTGATTGCATTACAGTTATTTTTCAGATCGGTGGAGATTGAAAAACCACGTGTATCAATTGAATTTTGTGATCGACGTAGAACATTGATATTTAATTTCTGGTTTCTTGATGTTATAGCAAAGAATTCTCTATATCATTTCGTTAATATCGAGTTAGCTTAATGTAGCATTACATTGGGATGTTGCTTATCAAATGATTTATAAATAATACAGTATATCCAATAATGTATCCAAAATTTTGCAATTTTATTATTATTTTCGTTTTCTGCACACAATTATACGGATTTTGTGCAGTCGAACTGACTAGCACTATACAAATATAGAGGTTTGGTTGTGTCATAATATTATTTTGAGTTCAATATGAACTCAATCCAATAGGTATACTTGCAACAGTATTCTCCAGTTTGAAATTCTAAAAGTGTTGCTTTATATTTGCTTTCTATTCTTACCCGCAAGCTTGTATAATAGATAGTAGTCAAAGAAAGTTTTGCCAATTCCTGGGGCATACTTATAAATTAGAAAGAAATTTTTTACATAGGCAATTAAATTTTTTACATAAGAAATTAACAAATTATTAATAAATTTATAATACCTGTGAATACATAAATATATTCTGCTTCGTCGTATTGGAATATATTTTTTGCCATTTGACAAAAGAAACTACAATACACTTTAGCCTATGCTAAGGACTAAAAATTATATATCTACAACTTTAAAATAATATATATTTTATATTACTACTCTAGTTGCCAACTCTCGTATTAAATCTAACTGGGTCCTAGAGTAACCGATCTTAAAGCCTCAACACATGATTATTGATTTTAATTTTAACCTCAAAACTTCTTTCTCACACATATTTGTTGTTTTCCTAATTCATTGTAGTGCAACTTGAGGCTTTCCAAAAATAGAAATAGTAAACAATGCTGATCCTTTGCCAATCTTTTGAAGAAGGATAGCCAAATTTCCCACTTTTTGACAAAAATTATGAAAAAAAAGACAGCAGAAGAAAAGTATAGTTTTGCGAGTTTTCTAATCAAAGAGTATTATTTCAAGAGTTTTTCATAGCCTTCTGTTTCCAACATAACTTGAGTTTTCTTTTTACTTACTGTTCTCAGAGACTCCACTGGTTTGGATGCCAAACACAAAAAGAAGTCCACCCAGAAGTAAGCAAGAGAGCTTGACCTCTTTGCAAACTGTCCAAAACATCCGCTTCTCGATATATCACGTTCAAGACTTCGTCGACAACAGTTTGTATTAAGAAAACTTCAAGTTATTTGTTCTCTTTTGGTCTTGAGTCTTCAACTTGCTTTCAGAGTCTGGTTGATACAAGTGATCGTTAGAGAAAGTTGCTTTTGGCATCAATGTTTAACAATATTTTGGTTAAATATATAAATAATATATTATTTTATTAATTTTTTTTTTATTATATAATTTTTAAAATATTACAAAAAAATACATACTTATATACTTGAGATTTGAGCTGAGCATATTCTTTAGAATGTATATATATATATATTGTATATACTACATAATAAAACAATGGTTGAATTATAAATAAGTTTGGGTTTTAAAATTAGATATAGTTTGAATATAGAAATGAAATAAAGAATTTTTTTGTAAGCAACAGATAATAGTAAGCAACAACAGTTAATAGTTAATTAGACAATTGAATATATGATAATATATATACTTGCCTTGTTATAATATTTATGAAGTTAAAATATAAATTTTAATTCAAGTTTTGTTCGATTTCATATTGACATTACTCTCAAAATTCATAATTTTGATTGGCTGATCAGCACATGATACTAATTTTTAATTGGATGGAGGATCTTGGAAGTGATCTGCAATTTGTGTAACCAAGTACGGTCACACCTCAACATTTGATAATAACAAATTAGATTACTTTATTATTAAAATTTATTATTAGATGCCGTTGTTGAACAACATGTAGTGTGATATAAATAAATTCTGTGATGCAAGATGGATTGAACATTTATAATATATATTGTTATGGATAGAATTATTAGTTAGTTGATAATACTGTATAACTCAATAGAATAAATTTTTCTTAATTTTCTTCTAAACATGTATATGATTTTAGTAAAATATATCAAGGCGGCCCCCCAAAGTCCGGGTCAATGATCTCAATGCTGCAGCAGCTGCAGCCAGTGTTGTGCTCGCTTATAAGTTTAGTAAAATTGAACTGGAACTGGACTTATAAATAGTCCACTGGACTTATAAGTCTAGTAGTCTAGTTTATAAGTCCAGTAGAGCGGACTTTTGGTCCAGAGCCCAACACTGGCTGCAGCATATATTTGCAGACAATCGTGATGTGTAGCAGCAGTGACATCGATCATCGATATAAACACTGAAAAATTTGCGTATACGTGATTCCACAAAGACTACGCCTTAAGACTTTGTATATATTCAAATTTTCATGAAAATGTTGAATTTTTGATGTAAACGTTAAAATTTTGGTGTCTATATTCTTGAAAAATAAAATGTATATATATAAGAACTTTGAATTCAATAAACGAAAGGACAGTTCCTTGTCCACTTTCAATTATCACTAAATAATAAAGTATATATTATCTGAATTTTCCTTTGAGACTTGTCTTTGAGTTCGACTTGTAACTTTAATAAACCCTTTTAAGACTCAATTCGACGAACTGAATTGACTTGTAACTTCGATTTGGCTTATTAAGATTCAGATTCTAGAATGTTTGTGGAATCAGATATTGTCATTCACATTAGTGACTTGTGGGAATTGTGGTAGAGAACGACACTTACGACTGTTAATCCATCATGTGAACTTAAAGTATCACTTGATTATCATCTGCTTTTACCTTATCCTCCTTACTGAGATATCTCTGACAGTATCACCTGTAGTTGTATCATCCCTTAACACCCTATTAATATTAAAGTATTTATTTCATAGTGTCATATTGTCTCAATAGACCTTCAACAATTATTAACGACCTACTTCGCTTCTCCAAGTTTATATATATTTCCTGTACACTATTGCATTAAGAAATATTTAAAATTAAAGGAATAAAATTTAAAATATAAATAGAATAAGTCTAGACAAAAGGACCAAATAAACAATTTTTTTCCAAAAAATTTTTTGAACTTAATTAACCTAGGAATATAGCTCTTTAATGGTTGTCTCAGAGAAATATTACCAAAATTGAAAAAAAAACAAGCAACTAGATATATTAACATCTCATTAAAAGAACTTACCTTTGTATCATTTTTAAGATCCAAATATTTACAAGTATTCTTTTTGGGTGATAAAGGAAATTTTTTATCGCTCACTTTTATTTCGAATATTTTCGAAACTCCATCTCTTCGGTTTGGAGCTTTCGAAATATTTTTGGCGATGTGGTATAGATACTTTTCGTCACCAGTCAATTGTTTGCCTGAGTATTCCATTGAATCTAGTATATTGTAACTGTTGATGCTTACTATTATCTGTTGCTTACAAAAAAATTCTTTATTTCATTTCTATATTC